CCTATGTTGTTCTAAGCCTCTTCTCAACACTATCCAATGACTTTCTATTTAGGATTTTGTCTAAATATGATAACCTACTCACTGTCTTCTCAATCATATAACCCGTGATTGGAGATTACAGTTCAATAATCAATGTTGAATATTATAACTCAACTAAGAAAAACCAATTATTTCACGTTACCAAAACATAGTGGTATAGATACATGTTCGAACTGCAGTAAAGCGGCAAGAAGAAGAAATTTAGATTTGGAAGGATCCCTTTCGGGATTTATATCGTCTCCACAGATATCGGTGCAAGGGAAAGAATATTGGTCAATGGTCTCTATATTTTAAGCTTGTTTTGATTAAATTGGTTAAAATATCGAAGGGACCATAAATAAAGGCAAAAAATATAAAACGGAAAATATAAAGTAAAGACTGAAAATATAAACGGAACCTTGTTGGGATTGGATTTCATCAATTGATAACACATGCATTCTTCTGATCATGTTATACACAACTCAAATATTCGTCTAATATCATCACGTACCACCCACAACAGAGGTTATGTATAACGCAAAGTCGAAAGGCCAAGTGTATTGTCTCGTCGGTGATGTCTCACGCAACAAAACCAACACAGAGCATTAAGAAATAATACTCATGTGAATGTTAAACTTAAACCTATGTCTAGAGTTTAGACCTAATAGATATTCAAATAACATCCATATCAAATTAATGATTTGATTCATATATAATGTCATGATCAGAATACTTACACATGAATAACCCTTTTTACACGTATTCAACTAATTTTCTAAATGTATGTGAACATAGTTCTTCATCTCTATTATCACGCATCCTCACAATACCGCTTGTGTCATAAACGTTATCGTGGTCTTTACCGTGTTAATCCTACTCATGCTACTAGTCAACACAATAAAATAAAAGTGATGCAAATGAATATCAACTCACCAGACTATGTCAAAAGTTTTCTCATTGATAGATGAATATCTTGGATCTATGGTTTGAAAAAGATTTTACAATACCCACAAATATGAAATCTAAAAGACAACATCAATATTGAATCAAACTAGTTCACAATACATAAATTAGATGAAATACATAAGGTATCAAAAGATTACATCTAAACCCCAACAAGAAATCGAAGATCCTACCTTCTCCCTCTTAGGATTTGTATTTCTCTCTCAAGAATGTGCTTGGAATGAAGAGAGATAAAATTCTATAAAATTCTATGCTGAAAAATATAATATATGTTTCTAAAAAGTGAGAAAATTACTTATATAGTATTTACAAATTTTGTCATGTTCGTGTAGCGAACAACCTATTTGCCCAGCAAAGTCTACTTTGAGGCACTTGAAGTGCCTCGGCAATATTTAAACCGCCATTGAAAAATATATGAGTTCGTTGTGCGAACACTTCTTCGCACAGCGAACCTCTTCGCTTCAACTTTGTCCAGCGAACTTTGCGTCCTTTTTCTATTGCCTTTAATATGAGATGGTTCATTGGGGCTTCATTAGGACTTCGCACAACGAACATTCGCTTGCTGCTCGCTGGTGTCCGCACAGTGAACATGTTGATTCCTCTTCATTTATTTGACTTCCTTGTCCAATCCTTTGTGTCTTAATCATTGATGTTTTATGCTTATATTCCTGCACAATAACACACACATCAAAGAATCAAGGTATTTTCAATATACTTAAGAATTAAACAAGAACAAGAAATAAATCTCTAAAAAATGAGAAATTAGTTGAAAAATGCAAAGAAAGATGGTTTAATTTAAGTCAAAATTTGCACTTAACAATACAGTAATAATAAGGACTCAAACAAACCCTAGCACTCTAAATATCTACAATGTATTGTTTGTTTTCCTATGTAGTTTTTTAGCTCCTTATACATAAAAAGTATTAGTGGCTTTTCTCTTTGGATATTTGGTTCAATTTCGTCCAGAATCTTTGCCCAGTTGTATATTATTTGTTCCATAAATATCTCCAACAGAAAGATTGTGAAATCAAGATTCTCAGAGATCAACATATGTTTTGATGAAGAAAAATCACTTAAGAAGGCAAAGATTATCAACCATCAGCATCAGGACAAAGACACAACTTTAAGGATGTTTTCCTCATAAGGTATAATGAGAACTTCCATTAAGTATTTAAGTCCTAATTGCTCAAATCATTAAAAATCGTTTACATTACTTTTCACACTAACACAAGCTTTTTAAATGAGAATTTTTCTAAGTTTTTGTAAGTGCAATCGATTGCACTCTTAGAGCAATCGATTGCATGATCAATATTTTAACTCATTTTTGCTTCTGTTTCAGTAAGCAATCGATTGCTGCTTTGATGCAATCGATTGCATGCTTAAAAATTTCTCTTTTTTCACTTCTGTTTTGAAGTGCAATCGATTGGTCCAAAGGTGCAATCGATTGCTCTATTGAAAATTTGAATTTTCAAGTATTTTTGTGAAGGTGCAATCAATTGGGCTCTTTGTGCAATCGATTGCTCACTGAACGTTTTTGAAAAATCTTTCGGAAAAATTGCATCTCTTCAATCGAATTTCTGTGGAATGTTTCCTTTAAAACATGACAATTGTTCATCAATTTTTTCTGGAGATTTGCATGTTTTGCTCAAGAGGTGTTTGTGTAATATAAATACTTAACTCTTTCAAAATTCAAATAACTTCTTTCAATCAAAAAAGCTCTTTAACATACTTTTCAGTTTCCACATCTAAATCAGAAACAACTTTCACAAAGAATTTTCTGCATAAATTTCATATCCTTTGAAAACAAAATTCTTGAGCAATAAGTCTTAGAAACTTGTGGAAATTCCCATTGAAAGAGAAGATCAATCTCAGAATTGATAAACAACTGTATACATTGTTACAAATCATTACAAAAATCATATTGTAATTATTTCTCCTTGCGGTTCAGGATTGTTGAAAGCAAGTGTGTGCATTAGAGAGGATTGTTCTCATTGCACTTAGTGTTTAGATCTTAAAGGTGTTTAAGAGCCTTTGATCTCCCTATAGGTTAGAAAGAAAGTTGTACATTGATCCTAACTATAGTGAAATCTCTTTCGAGTCGAAAGGGGAGTGGAGTACCCTCGGAGTGTGAGGGGAACCACTATAATGTTCTGTGTCTCTTTTACTTTCTGCCTTTACAAACTTTTATAACATCACTCCGCTAAAAGAAAGTAACATAACTCTCTTAAAACCAGAAAATTTCAAAAGAACCTAATTCAACCCCCCCCCCCCCCCCCCCTTCTTAGGCGCAATTCTTACTTACAAAGATATGATTTAGTTTGATTCAAATTCAAATTTAAATCATATTTAAATCTGATGAACCATAACAAAAAAATATAAATTTTTAGTCATGGCGAGAAAGGACGTGATGAACCATAATGTTTCATATAAAAAACAAGAAGATTGGGCGAGGAACAACTAATTTAGAAATCTTACAGGTCTCTCCAAATCCAACTTTAAGAGTATCTTTGGATGAAGTATTTTAATGAGAGAATGTATTGTTAACTTAAAATGATTTGGATAAAATTTATTGTTTTGATAAAAAGAATTAATGATTTCGAAATGACACATAAAATCAAAGAATTTGAAATTATTATCATTTTCCATAATATGTGAATGTCAATTGTTATTATTATTATTATGCTTAAATAGTCTCTTGGTCTCTGTAAGTTGACGATTTTTTGTTTTTCGTCCTTATATCCTATTTTTTGTGGATAAAGTTCTTAAATTTTAAATTTTATTTGGTTTTTGTCCCTAAAGTTAAAATCCACAGGAAAAAATTTAAATTTTCCTGCGAATTTTAACTTTAGAGACTAAAACCAAAAAAAATTTAATATTCGAGCTTATTTCTAAAAAAAGACATAAATGGACAAAAATCAAAAACACGCCAATTTACAGGAATTAAAAGACTATTTAAGTCTTATTATTAATAATTCAAATTTACCAGTAGTAATAATTCAAATTTACCAGTAGTAATAATTCAAATTTACCAGTAGTCTGTCCCCACACTTTTTAAAATTTTAAAAGTGACTCCAAAAATTTTTTAAAAAATTACAAATTGATCCTTAATAATTTTCAAATTTTACAAATCAATTCTTTAAATTTTTTAAATTGCAAATAGATCCTTATTTTTCAAAGTTTAAATTTGACCTCAAAAAGTTTAAATTTTATAAAAAATAACTACAGAAATTTAACAATGAATAATTTTAATACTCTATTCAAACAAAAAATTTAAAAATAAATTAATTTCAATTGAATCATTTGAATTGTATAGAATTTAAAATTCTTTAAAAAAAATCAATTGCCTCGTACAAACACACTTTAAGATTTTGATTGGAAATTTGAAAGGAGTGGGAAGAGAAGGCATCCTTAAGTCATATTTAGACAAAAAGAAGTCATATTTAGACAAAAAGTAGTGAAACTTTTAATATTTTTTAAAAAAGAATAATTTTAGATAGATCGGTAAGTGAATGTTTATTATAAATATATTTTTTATTTTTACAATATTAAACAATAGATTATAATCGAAGAAATTATGTATGTCCTCCAAAATCCTCAAAATTCCTTCTCCAATACAATTTTTAAGTTTTTCAAATTGAAGAGTTTTTATTTCAATGCCTCTCCACCTAAATATCTCAATTGATTTTAGTTCATCCTTCCCTTTTTTTAAAGTTCTTTCAAGCATTCAAGCAAAACTTTCACCATTGTTTTTGTTGTATGAAACAAAGACTGATAGAGAAGATGTTATTGGGATTTGGGAAAGTTAGAGGCCGGCGAAATATCTCTGGTGTTTCTAAATGCCAGAAATGAAACCAATCTTAATCATGTGTGACATGTAGGATTTACACAATCAATATAAGCATTAATCTTTTCATCATTGGCTAAAAATGGTGGTTCCGAAAACAAATGAAGAATTAAGCACTGATAGAAAAAGTGAACAAGACTTGAATCATACAAAATCCATATCACTTCACAGTTTTCTACCTGACATATTGTTTCTCAAGAAGGCTACCGCAAAATGCCAAATCGAATCGCTCCTCAGGAGGATCACCAATGAAGTCAAATACAGCATCTGCATTCAGGAAATCTTCATCTGCTGTATATCTGCATAATCCATTTGAGACCACGACATTAGTTCAGTTGGTGAGTTAAGGGACGTTGAAGGAGTTTAAAGCCGGATATCCCACGATTGATCTATGAAACTAATATAATCACTAACTTACTAATATCGCATATAGTAAATAGGAACATACCCGCTCTTTGTGACTATACACTTCATCCCAGCTCCTTTAGCAGCTGCTAGGCCTATGGCACTGTCCTCGACCACAACGCATCTGTAAATAACAAATAAAGACATTTCACATGCTGTATTAAAAACTTATTCAGAAACTGTAGAACTGTGTGACATTTATTTGAACCATAGTTTGAAAACAAGTTACTATCATAAGATACCTTGAAGGCTCGACACCGAGAGTGCTGGCTGCTAATAGATAAATGGCCTGTCACATAGAGCATAACCCAATTAGCCACACAGATCAAAGACAAATTAGCATTGGAATGATAAAAATCTTACTGGATCAGGCTTTTTGCGGGGAACTACGTCTCCTGCAAATATTTGGATTTTTTCTGCTCGCTCAGGTCCGAGTAAAAATGATACTATTGCGGAGACCTAAAATCAACTCACAATTTAAGTCCTGAGTGAAATACAAATAAATGCGGAACATTTAACTAGCATTTCTAATAATTAATCTACTAACGGTCGACCTTCTAACAGCTCAAATCACCCGCATTACACTTATGAATAAACTATGTGGCACCAACGCTTTAGATTGAAGACGTGTTTGGTGTTTCACACATGTTGGTGTATGACTCCGACGCTACATATGTAGTTATACTCAATCGTTTTCATTATTTTAAATTATCAGTGTTTACATTTCCGCATTAGTTTAGTGTAAGTGATTATGCATACCGCCTTCTCATTGGAAGTGCTGCAAACTGCAACATTGACTCCTTGAGTTAAAGCCTGATCGATAAGCCTATATGTTGAATAGAAAGAAACACGTAATAAGACGAGGCGCAGAAATTAATTGTCAATAATGGAATTGAAAACTCGAGCTATTAGGCGGATCCCGATAAATGAACTTATTAATATGATTAACAAAGAATATTAAAAAGATAATGAGTTTGGATATATATATATATATATATATATATATATATATATATATATATATATATATATATATATATATATATATATATATATATATATATATATATATATATATATATATATATATATATATATATATATATATATATATATATATAAGATGAAGAATAGATAGATAGATAGTAACCAACTTTGCAACACCTGGGCGAAGAGGCAACAGTTTTTTCTCAATAAGCACCATGAATAATTCCGTCTTTCGCTTGTGAAGTGAAGCTATGAAATCTTTCCTTTCTTGTTCGCCTGTCGGGGCATTCGCAGGCCAACCTGTCTTGTTAAAGTACGCTGTCATCCTAAAAAAAAACTCATAAATTGTAACTTCGAATTCAAAACGACAATACAAAAATATATAAAAGTATTTGAATTACCAGTTACCTTTCTTTTCCACCTCCGATTTTGAGCAATTCACCATACAATTCCACGTCCCATGTAACGCCTAGTTCTTTCTGCACAACTCGACAACAGACACACACAACTGCTACATTAAAGCATTGCATACTAACAAACATTAAAAACCGTCTACAAGGCATCATAGCTCAGACGGTTGAGCTATGATGACTTGACTGTTGTATAATATTAACAATTAACATTTTGCCAATAAAAATGGAAAGAATAAAAAGGAGAAGCACCTACCTCTTGGAAGGTATCGTTAAAAGAAATGCGGTGGCCATCTTTTTCAGTGTCAACAAGAACTCCATCACAGTCAAAAAGAAGAGCAGAGGGAAGCGTTGAAGCTTCTGAAGCTGAGGCTGAGCAACTCAACTTGCATGTCCTTCTGGTTGTTGGAGTTGATATCTTAAGAGAAGTGAAGGTGGAAGAGGATTTTGAAGTACAACGTTGTTCATGATCTTGGTTGTGTTTTAGGAGGCTAATTAGCGGTGTTGTTTTTTGTTGAGGAATTCGATTCAACAATGAAGCAGAGGAAATTGAGATGATGCTATTTGCTGATGCCATAGCCATAGCCTTAGCTTCCCCTTGCATACCAAATCATCAAACGCACTTCAATAACTAGTTATCTGCTTCCTTTGAAGTGGGACCGTTAATTGTGGTTTTCAACTTCCAACACAGGTTTGTTTTGATTAGGTTGTGTTGTCTTTCTTACTCTCCACGTGTCATTACTATTCATATCCCACATTTCTTTCCCACACCCCCTCCTTTTTTGTTTGTGATACAAGTCCTTTTGTTTATTGTTTTTTCTCACTTTTATTTCTCATTTCAAAAAACTCACATTCAATCAAATGGATACTATAATTAATTAGTAATTACATAACTTGAAATGAACTAATAAAGGAAAAGAAAACTATATACCCAATTGCTTATTTTCAAAGCATGTAAGGATTCAAGTCCATGCCTATTTAATTTCAAATTGTTCATCTTTCAATATACAATTTCGTTCCTCTCTGATTTGATTATTATAAATGGAGGTGCAGCAGAAGAGAGGAGCTACATACAATATCATTCTTTAAGAATACATGAGGAAAGGCTTTTGCATAGCTTCGACATTGTGTCAACTTTAATAGAGTTAGACTTGGCTGCATCAAGCATTGGATCTGATTGGAGTGCTTTCTCAAAACAATACTTGGCCTCTTCTAACATACCCTCGGCAACAAAAACAAGACCCAGATTGTTGAATGCAGGGGCATACCCGGGCTTTAGTTCAAGCGACTTTGTAAACATAGCCTTTGCAAGTTGATATTTTTTCTGATGGCGATAGAGAATTCCCAAATTGGATAGTATCACATGTGCTTCTTGTGTTGTCGCCAAAGACAAAGCCCGCTTGAATACTTCTTCAGCTTGTGATTGTTCTTCGGATAGTTGAAGTGAGACACCTGTATTCAAACATGAAAACCTATAAAGAAACAGTCCTTTCGTGGAAAAAGGAGCTGAACTGAAGTGCCAACTACAGTTGGAACCTGGAAATACAAAGGCATAGTATATCGTACTAGAGAAAATGCATACCAAGGTTAGACCATGCATAGCTGCAACCTTTGTCACGGGCAACAGCAGCTTTGAGGAATTTTTGTGATGTTTTGAATTGCCTAGCACAAAGATTGTGAAGGCCAAGTTGGTGCCACTGCACAACGTCATCTGGATCTTCTGTTATGGCCTAGTAAAAAAAGAACGATAAATCAAGCGACAATGTGAGATTGTATAACCATCAGAGACAACATTTCACATCAGACTAGCTGCATAATATGCATGGTAAAAGCTCCATTAACAAGTGGTTACTTAAGATAAGGAACCGAAAATTTTCCATTTGCACGATAACTATAATATCCTTCAATATATCTTTAAGAAAGCAAATATATTACCTGCTTTAGACTGGAAACAGCACGCTCTTCCATTTCCTTCAGCCCATCCTGTTCACTTTCGTATGCTGCTGATATCTCGTGCTGAGCCTTGTGAACCATTGCAAGCCCGGCCCATGCTATTGGAAGCTCAACCAGGGATGAATCGCCGTCTCTTATTATGGAAGCCATCTCATTTCCAGCACATGAAAGCAGTTCAGTTGGATCTTGAGATCTTTCTGCCTCCTTCATTCGATGGCTAGCAACAGCATATCGAGTAGACATGCAATTGGGTTCCAGTTTTGCTGCCTGGCAACAAAGAGAAGGAAAAAAGAAATAGTAAATCACAATCCATATCAGCCAAAACATCCTCAGAAGATAGCTTAATAAAAATAATGAGACGCATCAAAGTGACACTAACATAACACTAGCCAAAATGCAATACATGAAAAATCAATGTGAGTCATTCCAGCTATCTCTAATCGTAGAAAAAAATGCCAAAAAAAATTAGCTGTGAGAATTAGTTCAAGAGAATCAACTATCAAAACATTTCTCTCAAGAACAAGGACCGGGAAACCAAGAACAACCTCAACAAATACGTTAAAAATGACGGTAGCAAGGGACCATGAGCACCTTCTCCAAGCACTTGCTGGAACTTCGATAATCCCCACTAATAGAAAATGCATAGGCAAGATTCGCCCAAATATGGGCTGATTTAGCATCTGCTTTAATTGCAGCTAACAAACATTCCTTAGCGACATTAGCAGCCGTGGATTGTTCTTCCGAAGCACCTTCAGAAGCATTTGCACCAGCACCTGGAATTGAAAAATCCACATGACTTAAAATGAAAACCATATTGCTAAAAAATTTGCCAATCACTACATGATCATATGAAAGGACAAATCAAGATAATATCACATGAGTGCATAGATCATATGATCATAGTACCTGCTACAACTGAAGCATATTTACACAAAAGAAGGGTAGCATAATTGACCAGAGCTGCAGGGTGGTTTTGATCTTTTAGGATCAACTCTTGGAAACACTTGGCAGATAATTCCAAATTTCCTCTGAAGGCAATTTAGTTAGGAACAATAATGAGGAAAGACATAAATGGAATATAAACTCATAAACTCTTTTCTCAAATAATTCAACGCAATTGTATTACACGACAAAAGGTTTTTCTCAAATAATTTAATGCAATAGCAAGAGAACTGATATAAAACCAACCATTATTAAATATACATGTGGAAGTCCCATTCTAAATTTCCTGCCACAGTTAACAATGGAGGAAAGCCAAAAATGGACCTTATAAAGATGCCATGTCTATAGGTATAAGAACCAAACGAATGACCCGACAAATCCAAATATCCAATCCAAACCAATTAATTGGTTCGGTTTTTGTCTATGCTCAGGTCTAAACCAAACGGACCAGATCAATCAAACCTGGCCTTTATTGGTTCGGCTATCGGTTTCACGTCATTCAAAAGCAATCACCCGAGATCTAAGTCAAACGGTTATATTATATTAATATTTCTTTTAATTCGACTGTATTTGTAGAGTTATCTGAAAAACATTGTCGGCGGTCCATGGCGGAGAGTAAAAATCCCACGATACCAGCAGCTTTGCAGCGCAATTATAGCAGAAAAACCCGCAATATTGGCCGATATTTACCATCGCGGCGAGCCCAAAAACCTCCATGTATATCCGCCATAGCGGCCATGGCGCTGCTATTTGATAATACTGCCAAAAAATATGTTGTATTTATGTATTTTTCAATCATTATATATTATTTTCTCATTGGAGCTTAAGTACTTGTTTTAATGGTATAAAAATCTAAAGCATTTGAAAGAAAAAAATGTAGACTATTTATAGATTATATAAAATCCGCTTTTTAAATTTTTAAAAAGTGAGTTTAATTGAACAAAACCAGTCTTCATTGATTTGGTTTAGTTTGGATTTCGTGAAAAAATATTACAAAAACCAAACCAAATCAAAAATACTATTTTTTATTGGTTTGGATTCTTTTACACCCCTAGCCAGCCATTTCCACCATAAAACGCCATAGAGCCTCCATCCTTCACAATTGGCCATGGCAGGTATTTTACAACATTATTCCTTCCTAAACCAATACTCTTAATCTCTTCCATATGGTGGTAATTGTGGGTGTACTGAAGGTTAACGCTTCACTAAAAATGAAAGACATTATCATCACATATTACATGAGAATGAATCTCATATTTGTTACAGACTAATGTGTACAACCATTTTTTTTTTTGGAAATCTTGGTATCCAGCCTTCCGACCGACTAATCCAAGAGGGACCAATCCCACCATCCACTAGCGGGGGTGCCCGTTTAAAGCCGGAGCAAAGCTCCGTATGGACTGGTTGACACAAGGATTGATTGCACCTAGTAGGATTCAAACCTGAGACCTTGAGATGAGCACACTCTCAAGACCCAAGCCTCCACCACTAGGCCAACCTTGGGGGTTACTAATGTGTACAACTTAATGTGAAGAGTTAAATCAAACACCATAGCATCCCAAGCATATCATTTTATTTATTTTATAAATTAAAAAGAGGTCATTACCATTTGAACTTACATTTGAAGATAAGCTATTCCAAGGTTACCGAGGCAGTCATAGTTCTCTGGTGTAATGGCCAACAAGGATGACAAAACTGAGATAGCACTCTACACCAGGATTTGGAGTTTATATTGGTCCAGGAAAAAAGGGGGGAAAAGGCAGTCACGTCAGTTACTAAAATCGAAACATCATATATGCCTTAGAACATTAAAGTGTATGGAAAAACGAGAACAAAGTTGCACCTGCACACGCCCAGTTTTAAGAAGGATAAAACCCAATGTATTCCATACAGCCGCCTGCCTGATATCTGATTGCATTGATTCTTTCAGTTTAGAAAGAATTTCCTCAAGTTCATGAGGTTCAAGTTCTTTGTCAGAACTATTTTCTGATGAACTTTCTATTATCAGGCACTATAAGGATTATAACAACATGTCAATGAACAGAAAGACTATAATCAGTACTTTATCAAACTAAGATTATTGCACCTGTGCATGGTGAATCTGAACTAAAGAAAGGAACTCCGCCCTATCAATCTCAATCTCAGGCCTGAGTAATATCTCTTCGGCCTTCTCATACGCCAATACAGCCTGAAAAAATTGATGACGCAATGAGCAATCTAAATGTAGGAACCGTGACAGGTAAATTTTGTATAACTACCTTTTGAGGTTGGTTTAATCTTTGGTACATCAAGCCTAGTATAAAATGAGCATGAGCATTTTTGGGCATCTTCCTCGCAACATGAACCAATCCCTACAATTATAACTAGTTTTGTAAGCGACAAACTACAACAACGGCCATAATCATGAAAATAAATTACTACATCAAAGATTACGTCTTAATAACTGACTAACTAGTTTTAGGTACGAATTAGAATTCAGAAAAGATAGCTATATATTCTGACTAAGTGGAATCCTAAAGCACGGATGACTGATCGATTGTCAACAGTAACTAAGTTTGAACTCACAGTCTTCATGCTGCTAACTTTTTCTTCCCGTGAAGAAGGAGGACCTTGAACATGTTGATCACCATCCGCATCAACTCCACAATCAATAGAACAATCCGTCTTACTAGGTTTGGAACGGTATTTCCCCGGTTTGTTCAACTTCTTAACTTCTCCTTCATTACTATCAGTGTCTTTGAACAACAAACTCTTATCTTGACTGTTTTCATCGTTTATCAACCTATACATTAATACAATTACAATATTACATTACAGCACATTTGCGAATACAGTTTAATTCATTGTTTCAGTTCAATTTCATCGGAATTCTAAGTTCGAGATTTCAAATTGTTATCTACAGATATGGAAAATTATGGAGAAATTGAAATGAAGAAAAGTGAGGTGAGAAAGAAAAACCTGGTGATTTCAGTAGGTGGAGGAGGGAGAAGTGGAGAATCGTCGTCGTCGGCTTCGGGAGGATCGACGTTGAGGTTAAGTCTCTTCAAGCTTGACCTTTCTACTGAACCTCCCAAATTCTCAGCCATTTCTCGTCAGTTAGGTTTCGCATTCTGTGTTTTATATATGTACTTTTTATGCGCCCTTGTTCTTGCGTTTTTAGAAAGAAAAAAAAAAATCTTTTAATTTTGAATTGTTTGAATATTTTGTTTTGTGTTTTTCCGGTTAAATAAATTATAGGAAAAAATAAAATAAGTGATTTATGAATTTAATGTTAAAAAAAGAAATTTACCTTTAATTTGACTGGGATGGTACGCGTTTGTTCTAGTTTAACAAAAAAAATTACAAAAAATATGTATATTCGAATTTAATCTTAGACATATATAATTTTCTAATGAAGATTTTTGTTGTTTATTATAGGATTTAGTCTCTACAATTATAAGTAAAATATTTTTAATTTATAAAAAAAAATACTATGTCACACAATTTATTATAAAGCTAAAAAGAAAACACTTAGGGTCTTTAAAAAAAATTCTATGCCACACCCTTTATTATAAAGCTTAAGAAAAACACAAACACCTAGAGTCTTTAAAAGACTTTTATTGAATAATAGTATTTAAAATTGTTATTATTTAGAATAAAAAATAGAATATACACTAACAATCAATGTCAAATTATATTAACATTTTAAAATTATTTTGATGGTATGATAAATTGTTGATTTTTTATTGGATGATAGTGTAAAACTATTATACATGATTAGTGTATATCCATTAAAAATTATTATTGAGCGTAGAAATAATGATGAATATGATAGCTATGACAATGACCGAGAAAAAAGATTGGCAAAATATTTAAATTGAAATGACGAGTATTAAACAATAATTCAATGTCTAAATGAGGAAGAATTAATTTCTTTAGACATCAGAAATACATGTATATACCCCTTAGGTGGGTTGGGATGATATGTGTAAGCCTAAAAGTAAAGGGGGTTAGGTGTGAAGGATCTATGGCTGGTTAATTTAGCTTTATTGGCGAAGTGGAGATGGAGGTTGCTTGTAGGAGATTTTGGGATCTAGAGGATATTCTAATAGCCAGATACATAAATATTTTTATCTCCTCTCATATTAGAGATAGAATGAGAGACTTCCGCTCTTCTTCATCCTGGTGGAAAGAGATATCTCTTCTTGGATAAGCGGAAAGTAGTTTATACTAACTTTCAGAGGGCAATGTTAGAAAAGTGGGGTCAGATTTTCATACTTCCTTTTGGGAGGACCCTTGGCACCACATTAAAGTCTAAGTTTCCTGATTGTTCTCAAATTCTCTCTAGCAAGAAAGGGTGGTGAGTGAGATAGGAGTGGTTTATAATGGATTCCTGATAGAATTAGAGTTTGGCCTAACTCAATCCTACAAAATCGGTTGGTAAGGTAAGGGGAGTCACTCTATATAAACTCTTTGTAGATTGTACATTTAACCAATGTGGGACTTGGGTTTTTCCGAATACACCCCCTCACGTCCAGCACTATTAGGCTTGGTGGGTAGATATAAATAGTGGGTGGCTCGAATTATCGATATATGTGACTTGGTTTTTCCAATACACCCATTTGCGTCTAGCACTTTTTGGGCTTGGTGCGCATATATAAATGGTGGGTGGCCCAAATCGATAAGCTCGTGATACCATGATAGAATTATAGTTTGGTCTAACTCAACCCTACAAAACTAGTTAGTAAGATAAAGGGTGACACTCTATATAAACTCGTTATAGATTATATCTTTAACCAATGTGGGACTTGGGTTTTTTCCAATAGTTCCTGACTTGAAACCTTAGATAGAGGTGATCTTTCTTTCTTAGAGAGATGATTGTAGTTAAGGAGTTTCATGTCTTCCTTAGATATGTTATCCATTCACTTGACAAATATGAGTGGATTTGGAAGCACTCTAGTGATGGCTATTTTTTTGCAACTTCTACTTACCTTGCCCACAGGGTATAGGGGTGTACACGGGTTGGATTGGACCGGGTTTGGCCTAACCCGTTACTTAATCCATTATAAATTTAAAGGGTTAAGTTGATCGCCCAACCTGCAATTTCACGATCAAAACTGACTCAACCCGACCTGTTCATTTATGCGTTGGGTTGGATTGGGTTTTCGGATTATGGTTCAAATAAAAAAATTATTTGATAATTTTTTTTAGTTATAAAAATGTAACACAATTCAATATAATTACATTTGTTAGACGATGGCGACTTGTCTAGAGGGGGGTGAATAGACACCCAATCCAAAATCACCAATAAAATTTGGGTTTTAAAGTTATTTGAAAAAGAGTGCACGTGGAAGGTTTTGGTGTGGATCGACAAAAGTCGTCTACACAAACCTAGTTATTAGAACTCGGATATGCAAAGTCAATTATGGAATGAAAAACACAATAATCGAATTTAACCTTTAATCGAATATCACGTTATTACTCGTTTAAACTAATTACTTAGTAATGTTATTCCCAATGATAATAAGCAGAAAATATTGAACTAAGCAATTTATCAAGCACTTGGTGTGCGAATGAATTTTCAGAATTTTCTTTGTGTTGTCGTTGATATGAAAACCACTTATAATCAAAAGTGGTTATAAGTTAATCAACAACCAAGTTAAAATAGAAAGATCACAAGAAAATTCTTACGAGTCGATCGATTAATCAATGTTATTTGACAAATTGTGTAATAAAAAATAAAACGAGTAAAGAGATAATAGAGAGATCAACACGGGGATTTACTCATGCAGTTCCCCACTTTCGTCCTCGCATGTGGGTGCGTCTGCACCTAATTTTCAATGTGGAGTTAAGATGCTTTCTTACTACGCAAAAAGTTGATTTACAAGAAAAGTGTTCAAGAGCAACCATACAAACACTATCGGTTCTGATGTTGATTCAACCTCTTTTATTCTTTTGATCTTGAGTAAAACCAAGACAACAATGAATGCCAATTGACTTGTTGATATTGCTACTCCTTTGCGCTCTTTATCTCCAAAGCTTTCGTGCACGATCAATTGTACCGATTGTTTCACAAGACTTCAATTTGATTCGTCGTTCTCCGTTACTTCCTTTACGTTCTTTATCTCCAAAGGGTCATTTGTGTAACTTATCTCCAAAGGCTTTCACAACGTCGCAATCCTCTCTTGAACGTCTTGCACAAACATCCCCCAAATCTTCACTCGATCTTGGAGGAAAAACCCGCGGTTTTTTTGGATGAAGACCTCTGCAAATCTCAACCCAATATCTCGACTACACAAGAACCTAATTGGACCTTATCAGGCCTTCACCTAGCTGGCACCCCAACAAAAGATTATTATGTGTGATTTGTCAGTGTGTAGACATAGGATGGAAGTTGAAGATGATGAGCAAATGCAGGATAATTTTATGGTATCACCAGTTTGGAATGAAGCGTGAATGATGTACTTATAGTTTTTGGAATATTGGTGGCAAAGAGGTAATGTTCGGAGTAAAAAAATATAACCAAAACTGACCAACTTAAACAGCATGCGTCGGCCTGAACTTTGGATGTGTCGGCACATACTGTCAAAAATAACAGCATGTGCTGACCTGAAATGACTTATGTACCGGACAAACTGAAAAAGAACCTAGAACCTTATTTAGGATGGTAGATGTGTCGGCCTGAAACACGTATGTGTCGGCACATAATGGTGAAACTTCTTGTATGTGCCGACTTGAAGAAGGTATGTGTCGACCAAAACAAAACACTAGCTACAGGCTTTAATATTGAGTTACATGTGCCGGCCTGAGATGCGCATGTTGTAACACCCCAAATTTATTAGAATATTTATTTAATTTATTTAAATATGAATATTCGTATTTTTGGTGATTTGCGGTGGTTGGTATGTAGTATTGAGAATTATAAATTTTGGGTTATTTATTTAAATAATAGTATATAATATGAATATATTGGTATTATTATTATTTTAAATAAATATAAGTGAATTAAGGGCAAAATGGATATTTGTGGAGGAGTTAGTGAGAGTGAAGTTGGAAAGCCTACTTTATAGGCCCAAAGTTAGGTTTAACAAAAAGGAATTTTAAGGGAATTAGGATTCATTCTTGTTAGATCGTGAAAAGGGAAGAAATAAAGGTCAGAACTCTGAAGGAAGAGGATTGAGGCAAGGCTTCGCGAGGTTTCCAAGAATCAAGGAGAAAGACTTAGAGTCGGCAATTAAGATATGGAGAGTATTGTCTTCATTGTTTTCAATATATGATTCAATGTATTTAAAGTTGATTTAAGGGTTTAGGAGGTTTTTGAGTTTGAGGAAATTAGGCTTTCGTGGCTAAAATCTGTTGTTGAGGTTTTAACCATGTAGGGTAATTAGATAGTGAGTACTTTAATGACCGTGGTGTAGTTGTAAGGGTGGGTCTTTACATAGTTTTGAGATTGTATGATAGTGTATAATGGGTAGTATCATATTTAGGATAAAAATATCTAATTTCCATGGTGATTGTTATATGATGATTATATGATGAATTTGTGTACCTTATATGTTTGTATTCTTTTTTTGAGAATTGAACATATATCCATCAATTTCAAAGGTTTTAGGCATTATTTTAAAATAATAATTAGATGGTTTAATTGTCTTAAAATTTTAAATTAACTTGAGATAATTATAGTATTAGATGATTTATAATTTTCTGAGAGTTTAGGTTTTTACAGAATCGAAATCGGAGGTCTGGAAGGCCTCCAACGATGAAAAACGCAGAAAATTTTGCATGCTGTCCGTCATGACTGTTCATGTTTTCGGTTGAAATCATTTTGAACGTAACTTTTAATCCGTAAGTCTGTTTTGGTTCCCGTTCGAAGTGTTGGAAAGCTAATGAACATGGGTATAACATAGTATAGATAAGATAATTAGTTGCCAAATATTTTTATGTCTAATATGTTTGGGAAGTCAATTGTGTATATGTTCTATTAATGAATTGTTGCACTGTTTGTTGCCGGTTGTGAAATTATTGGTGGATAATTTATCGAATACTTGTGTGTATGCTTGTGCAGTGCTATTTTGATGCTTTGATGCTATGATTTTTTGATGAATTA